CATCATCATCATCATCATCATCATCATCATCATCATCATCATCATCATCATCATCATCTCCTCCTCCTCCTTCTTCTTCTTCTTTTAGGAAATGGAGAAATTGGGGCCCAGAGAGATAAACTAAACTTCCCAAGGTCACAAAGGACCTAAGCAGTACAGTTGGAATTTGTTTTAAATCAGGGGGTCATAACCTTTTTTTGTATCATGGATCCTTTGACATTATGGTGAAGTCTATGGACCCCTTCTCAGAATAATGTTTTTGAACACACAAGATAAAATACATAGGATTACAAAGGAAATTGAATATATTGAAATAGAGTTCAATGTTACAGTCAAAATATAGTCAATAAAATATACAAAACATTTTTAAAAAACTAATGGGGTCCTTGTAAAGAACCCTTAATTTAAACAGGTCTAGCCCTCCTTTCCCCACAAAAAAAGTCTTCAAATCTCAGCTGTGACCTATAGACACCCATAAAAGAAAGTGACCTATTAGAACCAGGAGATCTTAGCCCTTATTTAAGCTTTGATATCACCTTGCTGTAATCTTTGAAGAGTTGACCTTAATAACTTTCCTGACACTGTCACATGGCTTTCAGTACTAAGCTGCCTCTGCTCTGAAAAGACACAGGATGCTGTTGGCATCTGCTTTTATTAAGTTCTCTTCTCATTATATGCTGCCCATGAAAATAAATCACCAAGTCCTCCTGAGATCTTAATAAATCTCTGACGCTGCTTCTCCTATTTTATATGAAAAACAGAAACCAGCATGGCTTCCTTGGGAAGAAAAAAGGCCATGTCTTTCACCTTCCCCAAAGGTGACTTCTTTGCTGTGAATTTAAAAACAAAACAAAACAATGTTTCTGAATTTCCGGAAAATCTTGGAACAACTGGAAAATGAAAAAGCTGGTGTTTTCTTGAGTATAAAACATTAGAGGCTTGAGTCCCAAGGCAGAGTTTCTGCATGTAAATGACTTTCCCAAGAAGAGTGAAAGACTTTTGTCATAGCCTGCCCACAGGGCTGCAAAGCTTAACTCTTTCTTACAACCACACATAAAAATGTTGCAGAAGGCCAAAAGATAAATGTGCTTAACATCTCCCTCAATCACCATATCTTGGAAAAGTAGAAATACAAAAGGGGCCTTCCTAACAAAAGGAATGCAGGGAGCAGACTGAAGGTGAACTTCTTGCAATTTATTTCATAGGGCTACATAAGTCACTCACTTCAGCACATAGCATTTCTGCCCTAAAAAAAAAATCATCAGTGATGCTTTCACATAAGAAAATTTGTCAAACCAATGGCTCAGTGGTGCTTTGTTCTAGAAGCAAATTTATCATTTGAGAAGCAAAAACCATTCTATAACATGAATCAAAGAAAAAAAATTTCATGTTTATCACAGTATAAGGAAGCAAGTATTTATTTCCCCACTAAAGACCATCAGTTCTGGTCTTAAAGTTTGTAGCAGAGAAGGAAAGGAAAGCCAGCCATATGTCTGATAAGCACCCTAGATTTCAGAAGAAGAGATTTCCAAATTAAGAGAAAAGACGAGAAGTAGGAATAGGGAGAATGGGAAATTTACAAGAATGCAACTGTGAAAGCACAAAAGTTCAATTGAAGAAAAAAAAAGAGGAGTGTGGATGCAAAGGGAACTCACCAATCAATGTAATTTTTTTGTTTGTTTGAAGGCATAAATGAACAATAAGAAAAAAAAATAAATGGAAGGTCAAATATTGTTCCTGTTTTTGTTTTTTTGGTTTTTTTTTAAGGAGAAAGAATGGAGTCTATTAACTATAGGCCAATGAGCTTGATATCAACTGGCAAAATTCCATAATACATTATTAAAGAGACAGAATAGTTATTGAAGAGTACTGATATCAAAGTGCATGGCTTCCTTGACAGCAATAGGTCAAGTCAGATAAAACTCACTTCCTTTTTCGACAACATAACTCAACTGGACAGATCATGGAAATGCTGTAGAAATAATTTATCTACATTTTAGTATTTAATAATATCTCTTGTGCTAGTCTAATAGGAAAGATGGAAGAATGTGGACTAGCATATAGTATAATTAGATGGATTTTGTACTGCTTGATCTCAGAACAAAATATAGACATTCGTGTTTCTATGTCAACTTATAAGGAGCTCTCCGGGAAGAATCTATGTTTGACCCTAAGATGTTCAATATGTTTTAAGATATAGATAAAGGAAAAGAGAAGATATATTTATCCAGTTTTCAGATGATCAAAAGCTGGAGGATTACTAACCCATTTGATGACAGAATCAGGATTCAAAGAGATTTTTACAGACCAGAATTTGGGGTAGCATTGAATAAGGCAGTGTAATAAGGATAAACATAGTCTTAAAATTGATTTTAAAAAATCAGCTTCACTAGTACAAGATGGGGGAAGTAGGACAAAACAACCATCATAGGAAGAAGATTTGAAGGTTTTAATAGACCACAATTTCAGTGTCAATATTGTGATATTACATCCAAAAAAGTTAAATGCAAACTTAGGGCACAGTAAGATGGATTTGTGCCAGAAACGAGGAAGCGACAGCCCCTCTGTACTCTGTCCTGATCAGGCCACATCTTCAGTATTGTCTTTATTTTGGGGAGTCATACTGATCAGCTGGAAAATGTCCAAAGCAGGGTAGCTTGGGCAATTCATATACAGGGGTTTTTGACCTCGGTTCTATGATTTTAAAAATATTTTGATGACTGTATTTCAATACACATGTATTTTATTTTATGCATTTAAAAACATTATTCTAAGAAAAGGGTTCTTCATCAGACTGTCAAAATGGACCATGACACACATATAAAAAAAGGTGAAGAACTGTAACATTTGAAGAAACTGTAGATGTCTAGCTTGAAGAAATCAAAACATAACTAAGACCATGGAGTTTGTCTGCAAGTATTCGGAAGGCTGACATGGGGAAAAGGGATTAAATTGCTCTATGTGGCCCCAGTGGGGAGAATGAAGAGCAAAGAATGGAAGGTATAGTCAAATTTAGGACCAATAACAAAGAAAACATTCCTAATAATTCAAGCTAGCCAAAAGCAGAATGAGTTACTTAGGGAGACAGCGGATTCTCCTTCATTGGAAGCTTTCAGATTGCTGGATAAACATTAATAAAGATATACATACATACATACATATATATATATTATATATACACACATATATATGGAATAAAAGATGCATTTCTACAACATTGTATAATAAAAAAGGTGATTGCAAATGAAACTAAATCTATTACATACAACTTGTCATTCCTTTTAAATTATATAAAAATGTAAAGATATTTTACAAAGGAAATGCATTTTCAGGTGTGGGTTAGACTACAGGGCCACAGAGGTACTTTCTAGTTTTGAAATTTGGCAATTCCATGAACTCTATCATTAAACTGGTGGTTTGACTTTGGGTGAGCCATTTAACCTCTCTGGGTCTCAGTTTCCTTACTGGAGTAAGGAGGGTGAAATAATTTCTTTTCTTTTTTTAATTAATTAATTAATTAATTTTTAGTTTTCAACATTCATTTGCACAAGATTTTGAGTTCCAAATTTTCTCCCCATCTCATTGCCTCCGCCCATCCCAAGATGGCATGCATTCTGAATACCCCTTCTGCTAATCTGCCCTCTCTTCTATCTCCCCCCCATTCTCTATCCCCTTCCCCTTCTATTTTCCTATAGAGCAGGATAGATTTCTATACCCCATTGTCTGTGTACGTGAAATGATTTCTAAAGAGTGTCCTAGCTCTAAGCATTAGACAATTCCATTCCTTTCTTATTAATACACATGTCTATGTGAAATATATTAGACTCTAGATTATAACATTAGTATTACTACTGCTTGACACATAACCTTTACAGAGAAAAATTGTTTCCTTAGAATCATTATTTATATTTATTGCATGCCAATAAGGGGAGAATACATGCATATATAATAAGAAGGACATAATTATAGCACATTATCTCCACTCCTAGTCAAGATGCCTTACCGTGAATATTTTTTTCCCCCTTGGTTACAAGATGACATCTATTGAGACCATATCTTGGGAAATTTATAAACAGAGCTACACATTCAAGACCTTAAAAAAATCGAGAGCATAAACCCAATAGCACCTAAAATTTAATTGACTGGCCACTCCTTTAGACACAAGATAGGAGGTAGTTTGCTCAAAATTATCATGTGTTTCAAAGGCAAATGGTCGTTTCTTACCATTGTATCCTGGAACAGCTTTTCCTGCTTGTCCTGGAGGAGGTGTTTTTGAATTTCCTAAACCAAGACATGAGGCTGTAATTGGGGATCCAGTCTCTAGGGAAATAAGAGTTGATTGTTAGTCAACAGGTATGTGTTACATCAATAAGCACCCAATTAATAGCTCACAATGATGTGGCACACTTTACAATTTAAAAAGAGCTTTCCTTAAAATAAACCGATGAGGCAAGTAGTGTAAGCATGGTGACTAGCTCCAAAGCAAGGTCACAATTGAGGAAGTGGTAGAGCCAGGACAGAGCACAGTTCTGGCTCCAAATCACATGCTAATTAATCCTAGCTTAGCACAGTGTTCCTCCAGAGGGAAGGTATAGCTGAAGCTCCTTTAGGGCAGAGATTTGTATGTAAACTAAAGCACATAAATGGAGTGTTTTTTCCTCTAGTAAAGAAAGAGTATATTAAGTTAAAGAAACATCCTTGGAAGACAAAAAATTAAGTGACCCTAGGAATTTAATAAGACATAGAGAAATGCTAAAAGATCACTTTTAAAAAAAGGCATTTTCTTGGCTCTCATCTCAAAATTATCATGAATGAATAACTGGCACCCTTGAGCAGCTAGGTCGATAGAATTCCAGGTCTGAAAGACTCATCTTCTTGAGTTCAAATCTGGCCTTAGACACTTCCTAGAAGTATTTGCCCAGAAAACCCCAAGTAGAGTCACAAAGAGTTGGACATAGGAGTGAACAATAACAAAACTGGTACCTGCTACTTAAAAGCTTTGGAATGGACTGAATAAAACAGAATCCTGAAGAACTGCACAAGGAATTGTTAAGGATTTCTGTCTCGAACACTGATCCTGCCACCATTTAATGTTATCTCAAATGTTATAAAATCCATACTTCATCATTTTCCTCGTACATAAACTCTTGATCTCCAAACTAGTCAGGTCAATGGCAAAGCTCTAGCTTCTTGGGGAGTACTCTCCAGGCATGATAACTTATTATTTTTTTAAAGTTATATAGAAATATAGAGGTACTTTTAAAAGTTGAGGATGTTTTATTACTATTTTTAAGCTTCCAAATAGGTCGTTTTATCCTTTATATTTACAAAGATACACACGTGTATGCATATGATACACACATGCACATTCACCTGTACACATACATACATCATATGTGTGTGCTTATAAAGACTTTACATACATGTACACTAAATATACACGTGTTTACATGCATGTGTGTGCATACATACATAGAAAGAGAGTGTGGGTGTGGGTGTGATACACCCACACACAGTATATTGTTTGCATGTTATTTCCTCCATTACATTGTGAGCTCTTTAAGGACAAGGACTGTCTTTTGCCTCCATTTCTATCCTAAATACTTAGCACTGTGACTGGCACATAGAAGCCATTTAATAAATGTTTATGGATTTAGACATATATATGTAAATATGCACAGAGATATAAATATATACACATCTATACATACACCTAGTACATATATACACATACATAAGTAAATATATACACATACATACTATATACATATACATATATATGTGTGTGTGTATATTATATATATATGTATATATGTGTGTGTGTGTGTGTGTGTGTGTGTGTGTGTGTGTGTGTGTATATATATATATATGTATATGTAAATGGAGAAAAGGGGCATTCCAGTGGTATTAGAGAAGCCTTTGGTAAGGAGGCAGCATTTGCACTGAACTTAAAAAGACATGTAAGAATTCAACAGAAAACTCAGGGGACAGAAGTCATGTTAGGTATATCTTGAGCAAATGCACAAAGATGACAGAATGTAAGACTTATTCAAGGAGAAGGAAATTATTATGTACTATTATATTAAAAACCAATTATTAATTTGTGATCCATCCTTTTTCCTATTTTTGAAAAGACCTTACTCCTGAAAAGGTCAGTCAGTGCATGCCTCGATAATGTGAATGTTCCTAGGCCACCAGGGATCTGCTGCTTATCAAGTTTAGGCTGGGCCCCACCCAAATGAGATCCTGGCTTTTTGTTTATTCTGCAAACAGAATCCAAACTGAGCTGGTCAGTGCTACAAAGAGTAACTCTGGCATCCTTGGTCCCTTCATTAGAATTTGAGGTCACCTGGCTCATGAAGGAGAAATAAAATCAAACAGAACTTGATGGGGTGCTCAGATTGCTAGATGTGGCTCAAAACTCATGACCAGACTTCATTTTTAAACTGAACTCTTCCCCTACCCTCCCAACCTTGACAATAAAGTAATGGGGAGGGGCTGAGGACCCTTATAAACATATATAAACAAATAAAAGGATTTGTTCTGAGAAGTTTAGATTCAGTAAAAGGTTGCCCTTGAGGACCTGCAGGGACACATGTGGCCTGGAAACCACAGGTTCCCAACCCCTGGACTAAGGTAGTGGCAATAGGAATAGAGAAGAGGAGACATTTACAAGAGTTATTGCCTTGGTAGAACAGCTAGGATTGTAAAGCCAATTGGATAGTACATGTAAGGAAGAGGTAGAAGTCAAAGATATTACTAAGCAGACGCCTGAGACCTGGAGATCCAGAGTTCTGATTCGCTGAGTAATTAACACATGTGGGGTCCGTAATTTTATTATTATTATTACTAAACCTATGATTTCAGTGGTATAAGGAACTTCAGATGAGGAATCAACCTCTCTGCCTCTTCATAGAATATTATGTAGTGTTGCATTTTATGATTATTCATAGATGTCATAGCCTTTCACCAGATTCAAAGCTCCAAAAGGACACTGAATCTTCCCCCAAGTGCCTAGGACAGTGCTTGATGCTTGAAAAATGTCTGTTGAGTGGGATTGAAATGCTTACCATATTGAACCACAGAATTCTAGAATTGATTGGAGAGGAAACAACAGACATTTGTCATGTTTCGATGCAAAAATTCTCAAACATGTTAATCTCATGAGAACTCTAGCACTTTACTCTCAATATGAACCTAAGAATACTGGCTTTGGTGTCAGAGGAATGAAGTTTAAATACCGTCTGTCATGACTTGAATAATTTTGGGCAAGTCATATAACCTCTCTGGGCTTCATTTTCCCCATCTGTCCAATGAGGGGGCTGGATTAAATGGACCCTAAATTCCCTTCCAGATCTAAATCTAAATCTGACCCAGTCGGGCTCACATGCTCACCTGTGTTACTAATTTACCAGATTTAGTTCTTTGGACAAGAGAAGAATAGCTAATCCAAGAGATGCTACCAAGGCAAAATTGAGTTCAAGAGAATGATACAAATAGAGGATACTTATAAAGTGGTAATTAAAAAAGGAATTAGTTGCACTGACAAGTGGTACCAACCAAGTTCCTCTGCTGCTTCCATTTTGGGAAAGAATGTCTTAACTTAAATTATCTTTTCACCAAATTCCACTTAGTATTTTGAGATAAGGAGGTAGTGCTGCACTAGAATTTGGGGACAGCTCGGTGATGCAGCGGACAGAGCGCCAAGCCCGGAGTCAGGAAGTTTCAAGTCTAGCCTCAGACATTTACTAGCTGTGTGACCCTAGGCAAGTCACTTAACCCTGTTTGCCTCAGTTTCCTCATCTATAAAATGAGCCTGGAGAAGGAAACAGCAAACCACTCCAGTGTCTTTGTCAAGAAAAACTCCAAATGGGGTCACAAAGAGTTGGACGTGACTGAACAAAAACTGTGCTAGAATTCAAACTCTGAATTCCTTCGCCCCACTTGCCTCAGAAATTATTTTCTAACATTTTGCATTAAACTAGGTATGTACTGTGTCTCTCCAGAGGAATTTAAATTCCTTGGGGGCAGGGACTATTTCATTTCTGTTTGTGCCTGATACATAGTAGGCACTCATGAAATTCCTGCTGAATCAAGTTCTATCAGCTCCATGTATGATTTAGGAACAGAGAACTGTAGGGTGAATTACTAATTTTCTGGGGGTAAAGCAAAAGAAAAAACTCTAAGGACTTGCTTTCTTTTCTTTTTTTTTCAAACATTACCTTTTGGGTTTTTTTTTCCACCTTTATTTTCCAATATATTGCTTTACCTCCTCCCCTATCCATCAAGTCATCCTTCATAATAAAGGATTTTTTTTAAAAAGGATTAAAAAAAAGGTCAGCAAAACAAACATATCAATGATATCTGACAGTGTATACTATGTTCCATCTCCACAGTACCCCACCCTCAGAAAGAAAGGTGGTACAGTCCTAAATTTCTCCTTTGGAATCAATCTTGTTCATTAGAATTCTGTGACTAGGAGCTTCTAAGACATACATTCTAAAAGATGCCATTACTCTCTCGAGGTTTTATTTTGAAGAAGAGGAAGAAAAAAATTAAAGCAAAACACTGTTGCCTAGTATAAATACAAGAAAGGATTACCTAAATCTCTGCAAATATTTAATTACAGTTTTATAATGAAAGCTGACATTATACATGCTTTTCTGTAAGTCTCAAGCATCTTTATGCAGTAATGTAATGCCTTCCTGGGCATCTGGCATGCATTCATATGTCGTACAGATTAAAAAGACGTTTAAAAACATATCATTAACCAGTAAATATAGAAAAAAGAGAAATTGCTAGCTTTACAGTCAAATATGTGCACTATCATGATGTGTGCTGATATGTATGAAATTCTAAAACAGCTCTAGGGAATATGTATGTGTGTGTGTATATATATATATATATATATATATTTCCTATATTAAGCTGAACTAATTTGACCTCAATTTAAAAAACCAGCATGAAAATAATAGGATAATCCCCTACAGGTTGCCATAAATAGAAACTGCAAGCTTCCATGTTTGGAACATTTGTCATTTAAATAATCTCTTTGTTTGGTACACTTTGCTGCATCCTCCACTCAGCTGTAAAAAGCATAGGTCTGATCATGTCAATCTCCTGGATAAATTCCAGGGGTTCCTTATCACCTCCAGGATCAAATAGAGTTCTCTGGCATTCAAAGCCATTCATTTACCTATCCTCCCCACCTCTGCAGTCTTTTTCCACCTCGTACCCTGCTCCTTGCATACTCTTTGGTATAGTGATGCTTGTTTGCTTCCCGTTCCTCCCTCTCTCCCAACTCCAGGCATTTTCTCTGA